GTTCTCCCTGTGGCTGCCTGCGCCATGAGCCCCGTGGCCCTCCTCAACCCTCACACCCGCCAGGGCTGCAGGAGCGAGCTGCACCTGACCCAGGGACTCTCCAAGTGGATATGGGAGAAGCCGGTCAGGACCGCATGCTGACCCCCAGCCCTGACCTGCAGGTGGGACATTTCTGCTCCTCCCTGGGGCCATCCTGAAAGACAGGAAATGGTTAGTCATCTGCAGCGGCATTCACACCCTTATGCTCAAAATAAATATTCACCAAGTGCGATCACACAGCTCCGACTCTACAAGACTGCTGTTTCACCTGAGGTCATGGAGAAAGAAAGAGGCATGGGCTAGCAGGCAGTGAGATGGTTAAGGTACTAGACTCCCACATGGCAGACTGCGGTTCAAGTCCTGGACCTGGCGGCTTGCTTTCTCACTTTCCCTCTGTCTCTCTCTGGTGAGCACATGTGCCCTACAGCAAATTAAAAATAATAATAATAAATGAAATTAAATAAATAATTCCTTTAGAAAAAAAAAGAAAGAAAGAAAGAAAAAGGGATGGGAGTATGCCCGTCTATAGAAGGGATGAACTTGGGAGGCCTTGATTTATGTGTTCCAATGTCCAGAGGGAAGAGGCTTGTTCTATGTTGCCGTGGCTGATAGAATGAGGAGATATTCCAAGTTGTTTTAATGAATTTTTTTCCTTTTTTTTATTTTTTATTTTTAATTGCCATAGGGCGCTTGTGCTTGTGCTTGCCAGAAAGATACAGAGAGAGGGGAAGTGCCAGGGGTATGGCCATGCCGCAATCCTTTCTCTTCCATTCTCCCCTCAGGATTTTGGGCATACATGCACAAGTACCCGGCATGATTTTCAAGTTGCCATGTCTGGGACTCGAACCATGGTTCAGCCATGTGGGAGTCCAGTGCCTTAACCACCATGCCACCTGCTAGCCCCTTAGATGTAATGTCAGAAATAGATGAGGCTGCTCTGGGAAGGAGCACTTGTCACAGTAGCTTTAGGCACCCTCTGTGTTACAAACTCCTTTAGGGCCTTTCTACCTGTCAGTGTGAGAAGGATCCTTAGGGTCTTTGCAGAGTAGGCTGCAGTGGTGCCTGGTCTCTGCTCTTCCCTCCTCTGGGCTATACTCTTCCTCTTTTGGCCAGGATAGATTGTGCCACTTCACCCAGCTACAGTGCTCTTCACTCAACCAGAACTTCTCTACCTTCACACGTACTCTGATGGTTCTTCAGTCTTTGCCACTAGAAATAACCCCAAGCAGGCCAGCCACAGGTGAACAGCAGTAATCAATGCTGTGCAATGCTGCAGCCATATGGGAAGGTCCCAGGTTCGCGTCCCGAGGTCTCCCTGTACACCCCAGGCATGTGTATATGTGCCCATGACCCTGACTGGCTGAGGCTGAGGGTGGGTTGCAGTGTGAAGACCTCATTGAAGGTATTTGTCTCTCTTGCTCTCTCTCTCTCTGAAGAAATACAGACCTAAACTTTAATAGTAACTCCAAGCAAATCCCATTAGTTTTCCTGTCATGGATGCTAACTAATCCAATTTTAGCCATTCCGCCCCACTGTCCACATTTAAGGGACCAGTCCAATCTAAATGGAATACCAGCCCCCATCCAGCCCAAGGCTTCTCCTCTGTGCTCCACTCAGGCCTGACCCAGGATTACAATGAGCATGGTATTCTTTCCTGTCTTCCTTTCCTCTTGCTTGATCCCTCAGAATTGGAGCAGGGAGAGAAAAAAATGGCGAGGAAAGTGACAAGAGTCTGTTTCACGGATGCCGATGTAACTTGGCCACCGGGGCCCTCTGTGTCACCAGCACCTGGCGCCGGGCTTTCTGTGCTGCTCACCATGAGCAATGTGGCTTTGGCTTCAGCCCCCGCGGGCACACTGCTACCTCAAACTGCCCTGGAGGGAGTGGCGTTTCAATATGGCTGAACCGAGTTCCCTTTCTTGGGACCCACAGGAAGCTCACATCTCCTTGTCCCACCCCCAGCAGTGGCACACAGGCTACCCCAGCTGCCCCTTCCTCTCCCTGCATCCTGAGCTGTTCCTGCCTAGGTTTGCCACCTCTCAAATCCCCTCGAAGAAGCCAGCACCAGAATCCATGTCCACACTTGCTCCTGACATCAAGCTCTCCTGGGAGCCCTCACCAGGCCCCATTCCAGCAACTGAGTGCAGCCGCCTCTGCCCCGCCCCCAGTACCCCCCAGTCTGCCCAGTCTGCCCAGTCCATGGCACAGTAGGCCTCCAGTGCTGAGCAAGAGGGAGGCTGGTGCTGGCGCTTCCTGTTGCAAGCTTCGCTGCTCCTTCCAAGGGGATTCTTGGGGTCTTACTTTTTCCTTAGGCTTGGGGATAGAGGCTTTCCATTCCTCCTCAGGCACTTCACCCCAGACCACAATAAGGAGGGCGAGGGCAAAATAGACAGATGTCCGCTCTGGCTCCAATAAAAGGAAAGAAATCCAGAGATTTCCATGTCCTCCCATCATGTGCAACCTGCCCAGAGTGCCATTCCCTCAAACATCAGCCTCACCAGCGTTTCCTGAGCACCCTCTATCCCACTCACATTCTTGGCATGTTTTTCTGTTTGATTGTTTTGGGGGAATTTTGGTTTTTTGTTTGTTTTTGTTTGAAATTTTTGCTATAGGGCACGTGCATCTTCTGGAGAGATAGAGAGAGAAAGAAAGTGAGAAATTGCCTCCTGGGGAGAATGGCCATGCCGCGATCCCTTCTCCTTCATTCTCCTCTCAAGATTTTGGACACACACACATGCACTCAGCGTGAGTTTCAAGCCACCAGATCCGGAACTCTAACCATGGTTGACCATGTGGGAGTCCAATACCTTAATCTCTACGCCACCTGTTGGTCCTGGTTCTTGACATGTTTAACAATAAATAAATAGCAGGCAGAGACCACAACATTACATTTCTTTTTGGTAGAATTAAAGTTGGAAGTTGGAGCAAAGTGTGAGACGAAGAAAAACCTACTAGTTAGGTGATTTTGCAATATTGTTTAGAATATGTCCTCAGTTACCATAGCTGGGAAAAACCCAAAAGACCAATGTCATAAACCAGACAGGCATTGATTTCTTTCCTAGGAAAGAGTCCAGGAAGGCAGTTCAGGGACCCAGACTCCTTTTGTCTTATTGCTCTGCCATCCGCTCCATGGAGCTTCTTCTGCTGTGTGGTGGCTCAAGGTGGCTAATCCAGCTCTACAGTCCATCCAGCAGGAAGGATGACAAGGGAGACCAGCAGGCACCCTCCTTCCCATTCAGAGAACCATCTAAAAGTTGACATTTGAAGGACCAGCAGGTGGCATGGTGGTTGAGGCACTGGACACTCTCACATGACCAACACAGTTTGAGCCCTGGACCAGGTGGCTTGCTTTCTTACTTTCCCCCTCTCTCTCTGACCAAATAAAAATAAATAAATGTAATTAAATGGATAATTCTAAAAAAAAAAAAAAAAAAAAACAAAAGTTGACATTTGAAATGATACATTTCACTGGGGTCAGACAGTGGTGCTTTGGTAAAATGGGATGCTCCACAAGGCTGACCCACATGGGAAGGTTCCAGGTTCACATCCAGAGACCTCCTTGAGTACTCAGGCGTGTGCATGCCCATACTCCAGGACTAGCTGAAGTTGGTGGTGGATTGCAGCTGGTTCGGAAGGTGTTATCTCTCTGCTTTTGTCTCTGTGTCTCTCTAGTTCATAGAAGGAATCAATAAGTCAATAAAAACTAAAACAAAGACAAAGATTATGATGAAATTAAACATTTTTTTCCTGCATACATCTAATTGGCCAGAACTTAGTAAGCACAACTGGTTGCAAGATAGGCTGCAAAGGGTGGTGGTCATTAGCTAGGTGGTCATTTACCCAGCTAATAGGTTTCTACTGCTATGAAGGGAAGGGGTAACCAGTGGTCTCCATTACCCAGTCCACCCAGACATGGGCCATTCAGACTATGGGGGCAAAAACCTAGAGGGGCCATGGGGTTTTTACCTTGAGCTAAGTCATACACAGTTCTTGTTCCCAAATTCATCCATCGGGTAAGCTCCACTCCCTGCCCAAGAGTAGAGAGAGAAGCTGGAATATACCTGGAGGGAAAGGGACAGGGCCTTGAACAGATCTCTGCTTCCTGAATCCACTCCTTGCTCATTTCAAGGCATTGGCCTGCCTTGAGGATGGTGTGTGGAGCCTCAGTCATGCTCTTCTGAAATATCTTCAATGGACTTAGCGCTTGGAGTCAGGCAGAAGTTACTTGGATGCTAACCTAAGGCAGGAGGGAATTTCAAGTGAGAATCAGTTATTATAATCAGTGAATTATAATCAGGAATTATAATCAGGAATTATAATCAGTGAGATCCTTGGGAATGTCAAGATGGGGCGAGAAGTACTTTGGTAGGCAGTTCATTAGAAATAAGAGAGCAACTCAAAGATAATAGCAGAAGGACATAAGTCACATTGA